ATGTGTGTGCGTGTGTATTTCTTTGATTTGCCTCTCCCCCTCCCTCTTCTCCTCTGCCTCTTGGCACAATTTGATCAGTCCTTCTATGTTATCACTATATTTGTGAAAAAAAAAATAAAATCCCGCGAGGAAACGGAATTGCACGAGGCAGAATCGTGTCCTCTCACCCAGCCACTAAGAGACAAACACTATTTCTCTCCCTCTCTGTCTCTCACTCACACACACAACAAACGCACACCCAAGCACATTAACTGGCAACAGTTAATGGCGAAAGATGTAGATGAGGCTAGTGTCTGCAACCCCCCCCCCCCTTCTCACTCTCACTCACTCTCCGCCCCCCCCCCCCCTCTCCCTCGCTCTCTTGCTCGCTCTCTCTCTCTCTCTCTCGCTCTCTCGCTCGTGCTCTCTCTCTCGCTCTCTCTCTCTCTCTTACACACACACATACATACTGTGAGTAAAATTTGTGGGTGTGAATAATGTATATCGTCTCAAATAGCGCCTCTTGGGCTACCAAACATTAATAAATGGCTTTGGCCGCAAAACTTCGAGGGTAATGGGCTGTAAAGGTATAGGTATCGATTACCTTGTTTTCCTTTTATTTCGTTTGGGTGCGTCCTACGAACCACGACCTCCAGTCGCGTTCATGAATCGCGAAGCACGGTTTGGTTGGGGTCAGCTTGAGTGTGATGGGCCACTTGGCTCCGCCCCTCGCAGTCATATACTTATAAACAGTATTAATGTCTATTATATCAGCATAAAGTTTGAGATACAAATTGATTCAAAGTGCATCGTCAGTCAACCTAATTTATTATATTATTTCCGAAACTGTTGGTGAAAATGAATGACGGAAAAATGAAAAGCAGTGAATGTGTGCAGCGGTGCATTAATATAATGACGGTGGGGTATATAGGATGCAGGTGTTGCGAAACTTATACTATTAACATATCTTTTAGTGTTAAACTATTAATTGACAGTCTTTAGATCTGGGCAGATTGGGCACTTCCCGTCGAACAACCGGTTCACGCTTGTTCACTCACCTCGCGAAGGACCGAGTCAAGCTTCACTTTACCCAAGGCTAAGGGGATATTCCCTTAGCCTTGACTATACGCCTTTATTTGTCGTTTTAGCGGCTGGTGTCGGTGTTTCCCCTCCAAACCCATTGCTTTCGATATCCGTCTTTCACATATTTATTTCGTTATTTTTGGTAATGAAATAATTGTAAACATTTGGAAATATAATGCCGTATGAACTAATGTCATTTCTTTTCCATTAATATCATTAATAATATTAATGTCATTAATAATATTTCTTTTTCAAATAACATATCAAAAGTTTTCTATCATCTAAATAGCGGATCCTGGTGATATAAGACGAGCCATATGTTAATATACATCCTTCATATATGAATAAAGGATATTTCCGTCTGACGATTATTAAATATGAATAAGTTCCAACAATTTTTTATATGTCTGTTATTTTTTTATATATATATAGAAAATATGATAAGGAATTGAAATAAAACGATGTGATAAAATTTCTTGATAATAATTTTCGAAATAATATACGATAATTTATTTCTTAAGGCAGGTTTCCAATATATCCATCAAATTAACAAGTAAATAGGAATAAAAGCAATCCCTATTTCTCTCTCTCTCTCCATGTATACTTCAGTCATTATTGCACTTCGCCGGTTTTCCGTACTTTCCCACCTCCTCACATTCGAACTAGCCTAACTATGCCCTAGTTGTTTGAAGGTGGGCCTCCTTTCAGGGCAAGAAGGGCATGATCTCACCGAGCCAGGTCTGGCGAGGCGTTACCGCTTTTGTTGCTGGCTGTACCTCTATTTCTAATGGTGTGGCCAATTGATTTTATCTTCTGTTATAATTCCCATATTAATGAACTTCACATCATTTCTATTTATTTTGTATTACTGTACACTGTCACTACCTATGTACAAAGAAAAAACATTGTAAATACTGGAATTAAGTCTTGACTTTGACTCTTTCCTGTTAGTTCAGGAATGAGGAAAGGCTGTGTCCTTGGACCAACGCTTTTCAACATTTGCACTGGATAATGCAACACTTGGACTGGGTAATGGGCAGAGCTACTGTTCAAAGTCATTGTGGAGCAACTCTGGGCAATATCAAGGTTACCGACCTTGACTTTGTTGATGATGTTGCCATTCTATCTGAGTCTTTGGAATCCTTAGTGGTGGCTCTCGATGCATTTAGTAATGAAGCGAAGCCCTTGGGTCTAGAGGTCTCCTGGACCAAGACCAAGATCCAGGACTTTGGGGACATGCTAGGAGAACCTGTTCAGTCGGTACGTGCTTGCGGCGAGGACATTGAAGTCACAGAGAGCTTTAGATATCTTGGTAGTGTAGTTCATAACCCTGGGCTGTCAGACCAGGAAGTCAACAGACGGATTGGCCTGGCAGCAGGGGTCATGAACTCTCTCGACAAGAGTATTTGGAGATGCCGGTACCTCTGCAGAATGACCAAGCTTCGTGTCTTCAAGGCCCTGATAGTGCCAGTTTTGCTATACGGTAGTGAAACCTGGACTGTTGGCGGGACCATGTGTTCAACCAACGGTTACACCGTGAGACTGGCACAGGACCTATTACCTGCACAATCCGTGATCGCCAACTCAAGCTTTACGGCCACCTGGCTCGCTTCCCTCAGGATGATCCTGCCCACCAGGTTGTTTCTGTTCGAGACAGCCCTGGGTGGAGGAGACCTGTGGGTCGACCTAGGAAGTCGTGGCTTGGGCAGATCGATCAAACCTGTCGTGAAGAGCTTGAGATGGGCCGAGTCTCTGCCTGGCGACTTGCCATGAGGGACCCTCGCAGGTACACGCAAAGGATGGATGCGGCTATGCGCCCCCGTCGGCGTTAGCTCCGCAATGATGAATGATGATTTGACTCTCTCTCTCCCTCTCTCTCTGATTAGTCATCTTTTTTTCTCTTTATATTTATTCTCCGTATATTTTCACTTTCCCCTGCCTGCATTCATTAATCGCCTGTTACAGTGAACATATAGCAATTACAGAATTACACAAATATATAAAGTATTATTAACATGCAAGGCATTTCGACTCTTGATACAAAGAAATAGACATCGCATCGCGCTGTTCGGGCGGTACCAGTGTTTTCGAGAAATGCCCGAATGCAATTATATGGTAAGTCTCGATTTTTAAAGACCTGCAATTAAAATGATATTCACAGATAATCTTAATCTATAATTCCATTGAGCTATAATTTATATAAGGTATAAACAACATATAATACTTTTTGCTTTCATGAAAGTAATAAATTCTATACATACGATGCTGAAGTCAACGTTTTTTTTCGGGACGCGTTTGTTTACGACTGGAAATGATATAGATATACGTGGAGTTTTCTTAGGTTTGAACTCGAAACGTCCGGGATCAAACCTCGGACGCGCCGGGGTAGTGACCGTGACGTCCCTAGTGTCCTGGCCAAGAAGGAGTGTCTAAAGAGACGTGTGCCTCAAGTATAAAAGCCTAAAGTCAGACAAAATCTATAAAAAACGGACCAGATATAACTGTTAACAGATCACCACATAAATTTATTGTAGTCTTACCTATAGAGACTTGCAAGGTGGAAAACCATTCTTGAATTGGAATTACGTTAAATTTATTATTTACTTTTCTTTGAACGGAATATGTGAATGATGTCAGTCATTAATGAATGATATGTGTACGTCTGAAATTGTAAGTTTGAATTCTAAACTAATTTAATATTTATCTATCGTGCATTATGTACATTCAGATAACCTTAGTTTTGTGATGAGTGATCTAAACTATAAAATTATTACTTAGTTTGAATCATGTGTAAAGTTATCACAGTTGAGTGGTGGGAATATATTATTAGTGATTTCAGATCACAATATTTTTTTATAATTTACAGCGTACTTGTTTCAAACGTTTGGATATACATATTTCTTATTTGGAGATATATTTTGGAATGGTTTGTAGTATCTGCCAGTGTTTCGCGCAGTACATTGTAGGATTGATATCTGATTTGAAGCGAGGTGAATCTCGTGCATTTTATTTTTATTTTTTTATAAAAGAGCTTTTCTTTGTGGAAATTGCTATTACATTTCAGTTGCATACGTTATGTTATATGATACTGTCTTATCATCACAATTAAAATTATGGTACATTAACATTAAGCGTGAATTCGAATATTGATAATGCATGTATCTTACGTTCAGTGGTGATAGCTACCTTCATAGGGTCTATTTAGCAACGTCACTTAGGGATGCGAGAGGGTGTGAATTAATGCTAACATTCATTTTGTATTGTGAATAATAATTATGTAATTAAAAGCTATGTAAGTTCTTATGACCAACGGAATGCTTAATATATTTTCTTTCCTTTTTTTATTGTTTTTTTTTACTTATTGCCATGTTTCGTGTGTAATTCAATATTGAGGTTGATAATTTTTCAGTACATAAAACTCTCATTGCAGTTATTTTACAGTTACGTGTCTTTTTGGAAATATATATATATATATATATAATATATATATATATATATATATATATATATATATATATATATATATATATATATATATATATATATATATATATATATATATACATAACATATATCTATCTATCTATATCTATCTATATATCTATCTATATAATATATATATATATATATAATATATATATAAATATATATATATATATATACACACAACACACACACACACACACACACACACACACACACACACACACACACAACACACACACACACACACACACACACACACACACACACACACACACCACACACACCATACACACACATGCACACACCACACACACACATATAATATGTATTATAGCTACTTATAGAGTAAAATTTTCAGGTTAAATGAACCCAGAAGACTGATTCTACAAACCAAGGTACGTGAACGATTCAATATCTATTCTGGAATGAAAGGGAATTAAAGCTCAATGGAA